TCTCTCTCTCTCTCTCTCTCTCTCTTTTCCCATTCACAGATTTTATGCCCGAGATTCTGGTCTGCTGAAGTTTGAAATCCAAGCGGGACTTCTGGGTCGACCCATCAACCATACTGTCCGGCGCCTAGTGGCATTTACCTTCCACCCTTTCGAACCCTTTGCTATCTCTGTGCAGCGGACTAACGCAGAGTACGTTGTCAACTTCCACATGAGGCATAGCTGCACGTAGTTTTGCTCCGCTGTGGACACTGAATAGAGACATTTTATTATTTTTTTCCACGGATACCCCAAAGCCAACGTCAGGCTGACGGAAACCAAAACACTAAGCCTCTTTGGAGGGGTGCTGTTTCAGCCCTGTGAGGTTTGAACCTCACGGGCACGATGGTGCTGATGAATCCCATAGCCGTCTCAGAGTTCTTTTTTTCTCAGGTGTGAGTCATTGTCATTCAGCACAAACCAAACGGATTATTTTGTAAAGTTCTCTGCTCTGATACTTGACTTGTTACTACGTCTGCTCCTCCTCCTCCTGCCTTTTATTGGGGTGGGGTGGGGTGGGGGGGCCTTCAGCTGAATAAGCAACAGGAAACCCACTTGTAGCAAAGCATTTATTATTTTCCCCTCTCTTGTAATAGAGGGATAAAAGTCCTCCCATCACTCTTTCAAGAAGGCTGGCTGGTATCCTTAGTGGGAGATAGGGAGATGGTGCCTGCTTTTATGCAGGCAGGGAAGATAATGGGATAAACCCAAAGGTGCTTTTTCACGAGGCCACTGGACTTCCTTGTTTTTCTTTGAAGACGTTTCGCTTCTCATCCAAGAAGCTTCTTCAGCTCTGGACTGGATGGTGGGGGAATGGAAGGATTTATACTCCTTGCAGACAGCTGGTCATTTGTATTCTTTTAGAGAGCCACTTGGAGGTTTACCTGTGTCCTCGGGGTCACTGGAGCAGTGCAGATGGGTGTGGAGCCTTCGTGGCTGCAGGATGCTTTCTGCCCTGTGTCCCTTCCTTGTTGAAGACCGGCACAGGCTGTTGGGGATGGGTCTCTCTTGTCTGCATCTCAAACTGAAGCGCAAACGGTTCCCTTAGTCTGCAATGTTTTCTGGAAATCCGTTCATACTCCCTCGCCATTCAAAGGGTGAAGCTTGTTGGATGAGAAGCGAAACGTCTTCAGAGAAGAAACAAAGAAAGTCCAGTTGCTTCCTGAAAAAGCACCTTTGGGGCAAGCGTGGCCTGGATGACGGAGAATCTCCATAGACATAATGGGAGAAAATACTCTTATATAAACACTTGGGAGGGACCTTTTAATCCCCTATCTCTCTCTTTAGATGAGATTGTAACCCATGAAGGGGTTTGTGCTGCCTAAGTTCTGTTCTGTGAAAAACTGTACTGCTAACCTAGTGTGTCCGTCTTCCAGGGGTCAGGGGTCCAGGATGTAAAAAAGGTGTTGACACTCTAGAAAGAGGACAGAGAAGAGCAACAAAGATGATTAGGGGACTGGAGGCTAAAACATATGAAGAACGGTTGCTGGAATTGTTTATGTCTAGTTTAACGAAGAGAAGGACGAAGGGGGACATGATAGCAGTGTTCCAATATCTCAGGAGCTGCCATAAAGAAGAGGGAGTCAAGCTATTCTCCAAAGCACCTGAAGGCAGGACAAGAAGCAACAGATGGAAACTAACCAAGGAGAGAAGCAACCTAGAACTAAGAAGAAATTTCCTGACAGAACAATTAACCAGTGGAACAACCTGCCTCCAGAACCTGTGAATACTCCAACACTGGATGTTTTTAAGAAGAGACTGGACAGCCATTTGTCTGAAATGGTATAGGGTTTCCTGCCTGAGCAGGGGGTTGGGCTAGATGTCCTCCACGGTCCCTTCCAATTTTATTATTATTATTACTGCAATGTCATGCAGTTGCATTATGTGCCTACTTGACTCATACAGGCTTGAAATGAGGAAATTGTTAACTTGGGTTGGCAGTGGGAGGCTGCATCCCAGATGTAGCATAGCCTGCTTGGAAATCCTTGGTTTCATATTGTGAGCCTCCCAGAATCGTTTGCTGAAATGGGCGGCTATAGAAGTGGAACCAAACCAAATCAAACCAAGCAATCAATAAATAAGTGAATAAGTTAAAATAAAACAGCCCTCTTCCCTGCCTTTAGTCGACTCGCAGCCAGGTTGAAGGATGGGCCCGTTTTAGGTACGTATCTTAACATTTCTCTTTCCTTAAATTCGGTGCCAGTGCTACTCTCTGTCTAGGCCAGGGGTAGGCAACCTTGGACTTCAACTCCCAGAATTCAACTCCCAGAACCTTGGACTTCAACTCCCAGAATTCCTGAGCCAGCATGGCTCAGCATGGAAACCTCTCCCTTTCCCCTCAGCATGGCTGGCTCAGGTATTCTGGGAGTTGAAGTCCACGAGTCATAAAAAAGAGCCAAGGTTGCCTACCCCTGGTCTAGGCAGTTCTCAGCAGGAGACAAGAATTTCAAAAATTACACCTGTGAGGCCATTTTCAGATGCTCAGAATTATAGTCTTTTGTCTTTGACCCAGTTCAGTAAAATAAAAGTAACACGAAGGTAGAGGGTGTTTGTTCTTTGAGTGCCCTTTCTTTCTCTTGCTGCGTTTCAAAGGAAACAGCTGAATGGGCAAAGCTGGATGGACGTGCAAGGAGGACTTTGATAGCTTTTGGCTCTTATTAGCACTCGAAAAGTTCCCGTGAAATCATCTGAAGCGGGTCGACGCCAACATTTCTTCGCCAATATTAAGCGCCCAGTTCTGAAATTGCCTTGTGAGTTGAGTCACCTGGTAAGGCAAGGCAAAACAGATGTCTGGTTGGATGCCCATGGACATCACATGCTAAGCTTCTCCACAGATAGTTGTAAAGATATAAAGATTTCCTTTGACTTCAGCGTAATTCCCAAGGACTACCCAAATATGCCTACATTACTGTCTTAGCAACAGTACGGTTCATTCTTCTAGGATTTTTTTCTCCCTCCTTCAGTTTCAACTTCTGAGAACAGCCTTGAAATATCCTGGTGATCTCTAATTTAAGCCCTAATTAGTTGTTGATCTTAATTGGCTTTTTTTCCCCCGATATCACCTGTGGTTGGCGAGGTGCTACCTCCCGAGGTTTAACGTTGGGTTAAATAAGACATAATTGCCTTTATTTAATTCCAGACAAAAGGCAGCAGTTTAAAAAAAGAAAGAAAGAAGAAGAAGCGCTAAAAGGAAATCAATATAAATACATTTGGGTTTGCAAATTGGAGGAGATGGTAGTTTGCCGAAGAGTGGTCGAATCCCAGTCAGCTGTAGACCAACCTATAAGTCACTGTTTTACAAAAGATAAAGATTTGAGTTCACGTGAGATGTACATTGGAAATTAAATGAGACAAATGATAGCTTAGATCACCATTGGTTGACTCCATGTTATTTAGTATTTTGTTTTTACTGTTGGTTGGAGCTGAAATGACTAAAGCAGCGAAGTGGAATACTATCTTTCCAAGAAGCCCAAACAACTGCTTTTGGAAAAGGCATGAGGTGAACAAAACCCGCTGTTCAAAACTGGAGCTTACGGTCCCCTAAAGAGATAGACGTTCTGGGAGGTTTCTCTTTAAAACGTGCTTGAATTGGCTTTGATTTTTAAGTGGTATTATTAAGAAGGAGTTGCTTGTATCTCCTCTCCACATGCTGGCTTCCTGATCAAAACCAGCCTCCAAATATTTGGTCAGACTTTCCAGCATCACGTGTTTGTCACAAAAACTCAGGGGAGGGTGTCCCTTGAGGTCTGCTTTTTTTTTTTTATTTAAAGAAGGAGCTTCATTAATTTTGTAGGCACGATGAATTGATACAGCTAGAGCATAATTTTTGTAGCTCAGGGTTGAACTGTGGGGTCCTTGGTGCTCTCTGAGCTTGCTGGTTTTCTTGCAGAGGTTTCATTACCCAACTTGGTAACATCATCTGTGCACTGATTAGGTTACCAATAAAGGAGAATATTTGTAGCTCAGGATTGAAATGAGGGATGGCCACTGAGGATGTTACCTAGAACAAGCAAGCTCAGAGAGCAACAAGGACCTCACAATCCTCCTCCTTTTCCTGTTCCTCCTCCTCCATTCTTCAAATCCCACTCCCATCTAGCACTGGTGATGTTACCTAGTTGGGTAAGGAAACGTCTGCAAGAAAACAAGCAAGCTCAGAGAGCACCAAGGACCCCTCGCTGATTATGTTACCTAATTTGCTAATGAAACATCTGCAAGAACACTACCAAGCTAAGAACACCAAGGATCCTACAATGGAGTGAATTTTGGATTTGTTCTATTGCTGTCGCACTATAATTCCAAGGAAGGGGACGTGGATAAAGAATTCTGAAGGCAGCCCTTAGTGCATGCTGACCTTTAAACAGCAGCGTAAATGCAAAGTACAGATAGCCCTCATCTTAACAACCATAATTGTATTCCAACCCAGTCCTTTCCCCGTTGCTTCCTGTCCGGCTGTGATCGGGGTTTGCGAAAGAGCCACGACACTGGCTGTGTGTACAAGAGAGAATAATAAACCTGGCTTAACAAAATATACCTCTTGAGTTCCCCTAACGTGATGATGAAACAAACTGTGGCTTACTATGATGAGCTGATTCACACAACATAGAAGGTAATGGGTTCCTACAACGTGCTGAACTACAAGCTGCTCAAATCTCTTTTAGCCTAGTCTAGTGAACTGTTCACTCTTGTCGGCTGAAGGCTTACAACTTTGTAGAAAAACGGACCTCCCTCTTCTACTCTCTTTCCACACTGCCTTCCTGGGATTAAAGATACAGCTTTCAAATCAGGTAGCCCTCTCCTCCATAAGCCTGTTAAGCCCTCGCTGAAAATTGCCTTTGTTGACAATGAACTCTGAGGTTCCCCTGTTGTGTCTGTTGATCTTGAATTTGCAAGGAGCAGTGATAGGGAAGAGGAACGCCAGTAGGCGCAGTAAACACAGCAGACAATGTAAGCAGGTTCTAAAACCTGATGCTGGTAGGACCTGGAATAGTTCATTCAGATGTGCAATTTGTCTCTTGAGCCTGCTGTCATTAAGCAACGGACCTGCTTACATGAAAAGCTTTATAGGTGGAAGGTTGGAAACCGGTCCGTCTGGAACCTACAATTTCTAGAGAAATAGAGAGAGACCCTTAGTAAAAACATATTCCAGCTGCTTTCAAGGGTGATAGATAATTAGATATTAAGTGTCTTGTTAGTCTGGAACATCAGGAAAACACAAAGCCAAGCAGAGCATAATTATATAAACTCCGGTTTCCTTCTGCTACGGGTAATTAACTATTGTGTTGGAGGTTTTATTCTTGTCAGGGATGAAGTTTCTACTCAAGTCATCTCTTGAGAGTTTTCTGCCAA